TCCGCCTTGTCAGTCCATCGATCGACTTTAGAGACCAGGTTCTGAGGCCTCGATTCACGGACTTGGACCACGGTTTGTGATCTGACCTACTGTCCGTGGGTCATGCCTTAGAATAGTTTTTGTTTGAGTTTCTGGGGAAGGTTGCAAGTGACCATCCACGGACCACCAGGACGAAACGTGGGTCACCCTACGGTTCGTGGGTGGCAACCGTGTGTTGCACCTGCAACTTCTAGAAATTTGTTGGTTTAGTTTGTTTTCAGATACTGGGTGTTACATGAGGGTGGCGTAAAAATGATTTTTAAAAAAATTTGAAATATTTTCCAAAATTAACTTTTATTATAAAAAAATTGACGGGGTGGCGGGAGAGGAGTTGGTGTGGGAGGGGGGGGGGTAGGGGTAGGGATGGCGTAAAAATGAAAAAAAATTAAATTTGAAATCTTTTTCAAAAAAAAAATTTAGACAGGGGTGGCGGGGGTTGGGGGTAGGTAGGGGTGAGGGTGGCGTAAAAAATGATTTTTTTTTAAAAAAAAATAGACGGGCTGGCATGGGTGGGATTGGCCTTGTTTGGTTGAGGGTGGCAGGGGGAGTGGCGTAAAAGTTAAAAATCATATATTTATAATATTTTTCAAAAGCAATATTAAAAAGAATTAAAGGATGAAGTAGAGTTTTGGAAAATGTTTTCCTTAATTTTGAAAGGAAAGTCATTTTCCTTAAATTTGAGGAAAATGAGTTGATTTGGAAAATATTTTCGAAACATTTAAGCCAACCAAACATGATAAAAATGGAAAATGTTTTCCTCCATACGAAACACACCCTTAGTCTCAACATTAATCTCTCTGGAGGGGACACCATTAATGTTTGAAGATAAATCTCTTTTATTTTGATCAAACAATTATTTCTTTCAACCAATTGGTATTTGTGGTGTTTAAGTTATTGCTGCAATTCCATCAACTCATTACACTTTTTTTTCTTCTGATTTATATAAGTTATTAAAATCAAATTCAGATTTTTTGTGGGCTCCTCTTTTTTCTTTCTTTTTTGTTGGATTTTTGTTTGTAAGTAGATGAAAGTGTTTGTTTTAATCTTTATTTTTATGGCTCTATACATGTATTAAGAAAGAATGACTAGAACAATCAATTATGTTATTGGTAGAGAGTAATTTAAGTATTAATTATTATATTTTATAATTCTAACAAATATACTAACTTGTTAATTTTTCTATTTTATCCTTGTAGACTAAAAAGATTACGTCGTGTAAATTTTTAAAAATAATAAAATATGATGTAAGTCACAAAAGAGGAGTCCGGAGCCTAAAGGGCAAAAAAAAATTGTCAAAAATTCCAAAATGGCACATCACTTTTTATTCTAACCAAAAGGGCAAAATCGCTGCGTCAGCAGCGATTTTCCTCTAACAAAATGACCAAATTTTTTATTTTTTTTAATTAAAAATCGCTGCCACAGCAGCGATTTTGTAAATTTTTTTTTTTTTTTAATTAAAAATCGCTGCTTTTTCTTTAAAAAAACTAAAACGGCACATCAAAAAAAAAAATTAACCAAAAGGGCTTCTGACAAAACAAAAATAAAAATCGCTGCATATTTTCTCAAAAAAAAAAAACTTTTTTTCTTCAAAATCGTTGCTATAGAGTGAATTTGGTTAAGAATTTAATATTCTTTTATTATTATTTATGATATATAATTCAATTTTTCTCATGCTTCAACAAATTTATTGAGTATAATGTCGTCTTGTTTATCATTTTTATATTATTAATAAGTAATAATAGGCATGAAAATAATAGCACTCGGCATGAAAAACGCTGCTCCTGCAGCAATGTGTAAGGAAAAAAAAAATTATGATTTAAAATCGCTGCCACAACAAAAGAATTTTTTTTTTACAATGGCAGATTTTTAATAATAATAATAAAAAAAATTAACAAAATCGCTGCTACAGCAACGATTTTTAATAAAAAATATATATTTTTTTTTTTACAAAATCGCTGCTGTGACAGCGATTTTTAATTAAAAAAAAGGAAAAAAAAATTTTAGACAAAATCGCTGCCGTCAGAGGAAAATCGCTGCTGACGCAGCGAGTTTGCCTGTTTGGTTAGAAAAAAAAGTGATGTGCCCTTTTGAAATTTTTAACAAATTTTTTTGCCCTTTAGGCTCCGGACTCCACAAAAGAAAGCATACATTAGGGGTGCGAATCGTAAATCCCATTTCGATGATTATGATCATGCCTTCCGTTAAATGGTGTACTATGTAATAGTATTGGAACTCCTAAACATTATGTATTTGGTTAATGACATCCTCATATTATTAACGATATATGGTAAAATGAATAGGATCTCTTCATTTATAATTAATGAGTCCTTGTGGAAATGGAGAAATTTTTGGTAGGAAGAACTGATGATCGACTCTACATGCTTAGAAAAAAAAACAAGTGCATTAGTTCCCAAATTTAAGGGCACCCATTTTCTTTAGCAATAATAAGTTATAGGTATTTTCTTTAAAAAATATTGAATATTATTTGTAGAAAATGTGAACTTTTCAAAAGAATTATTAGAAGAAGTTTGTCACATTTAGAATACTATGTCTTAAAAAAAATTAATTGAACCGGCTATAATAAACTTCATAAAAATAAATGATAAAGCTTAAGGCCTCCATTTGATTTCGGCTTTAGGCTACAAATATACTTGAGCCGGCCAACTTTTCCTTTAATGGATCGGGCCCTACGCGGTAGATTCAAAATAGTCAAGTAAGTGAATACAGAATATCAAATAATTAAATTACTAATAATATACCATTATCCTCTTTATGACTCGAGATAACTTATTAAAGGTTGATTTATGCAAATATTTCTTTTTAGGCCATTATTTAGAATTTTTCCCATTGTTTAGTAGTTGTGCAAATATAGCTCTTTCAGATTTGATAAAACATCAAATAATCATTTAACATTTTACAAAAAAAATTACTGTTGGAGTAATGTTTGCTCATAACATTTTCATCAATTTGCTCAAAATGCATCTTTAAACCATTATCTAAATTAAAAAAAAAAGATCATTTACTAAACAGTTATCGCAGAAACGGATAACCAGCCAAAATTTCTGGTGATTAATTAATACACAGCTCCAATGTATTGCAACTGTCTTATCTAACATCCTTATCATTATTATTAAGAAATGGGGCCATAACTAAATATTTCTCTTGAATTTTGGCATTTTTGCATTTGCCACTTGGTTCCATAGTAAGGCAAGATTAGTAGCCACCGACAATAAATGATGTAGACATGTCATCATACTCGTGTTGGATCCTTTAAAAGTGTACTATTTGGAATTTGAAGGATTCAACACGCACTATTATTGAAGTGTCCGAGCGACATAAGTCGAGAGTACATAACTTAATGCAAGTGTTTACAATATACTTTTGCACCTAGACAGATCCATATACAAATATATACCAGTAATAACAAAGAACCTAAGTTTAAACAGTGATCAATCCAAGAGCTAGCTGCATTCAAGGGCAGCAGCCCGGGCAACGAATTAATCCATTTTCGTTGCAACGTGGACACCTCATCGACTTCCCTTCCTCCTCTTGGAACAATTTCTGGCTTCCATTGCAACTAGGACATGGTACAAACCTCACCTCACCACAACTTTCACAAGTGAATCCATCATTCATAACCGCGAACCCTTCTAAAAGCTTAGCCAATTCTCCGGTATCATGAAGTTGTGTAATCTCTTCTAAACCACCAATGTACTTCCCTCTTATAAACACCCGAGGCAAGCTTAGTGTTTTACCTTGTAACACATCTTGTAACTCTTTTCTATACGATGAATCCATAGAGATATCTCTTTCGTCTACACATACACGAACCCCTTTGAAGATCATACGCAGGGAACAACAATCTTCATAAGTCTTCCTGATTCCCCTCAGACTAGTAAAATACACAACAACCTTATCTTCAGTACCTTTTAAGTAGATGTGATCAGTATTACGCGAAAATGAGCTCAAACAACTTGAACTATCATCCTGATCATGCTTATATTGTTTGGAAGAGTACAATGCTTTTCTATAACTTAAAGCTACATTAGGATCCATTTTCGCCAACAATGATTCCTCAGACAAATGCTTCCATAATGGCTTCGTACTCGGGTGCTCATTAGACTTCACCAATTCTTTCTGAATATCATATACAGGGGACGGAACCATACGAAAATCTATGTCATCAAGGCCTTCCATTAGCTCCCAAGTGTTGATTGTTGCATCAGGAGATAAAGGGTCATCCTCAGATGTGGTGAGGTTGTCTAGAACTCGATGATCAAGCGATCCATAGGTAGAGGAAGTGAGTGAAACTAAGTGATTGGTGTCCCCTTTACAAAGAGGTGGATGGTGAATTAGAGGTGTCGGTAGGAAGAGTGTTGTTGAAACTGGAGCTGAATGTGAGTTTGATACATTTCTGGTAGCAAAGTCATGATAGGAACGAGAAACGGAGCAACCCATTAATTGAAACACCAAAAAGATTGAATCTTTATGCAAATACACCAAGAAAAAGTGAAGCATAGTATAGGGAAGAAAAGTGAAAATAATGGAAGTGAGAAGAGCTGGTTTATATAAATTGGGAAAATAAAAGAGTGATAGCCTACCACTTGTGCTGTGAATACTTCATTAGGAAAATATGTTATGGATGAATAGGATCCCTCCACCTGAGGTCTCGGGTTCAAACTCTGGATATATGAAAAAACTCTACACATGATGAAAAAACAAAAAATAAATGCTAGACAATGATCAAGATTATAGGCAAATATTCGAGGTACATAGAAGTACACAATTAACTTCTTGAATAAATCATTACAATACCCCCTTTTTATCAACTAGAAGCAAACAACATTATTTTTCATCTACGTTGCTTGGACTGCACTAATTTTAGAGGATCCAATAGTCCCCTGTCGACATTTTTTAAGAGTCCGAGCAAAACATAGTTTTTCACAAAGATTATAACCAAATTAACAAGCAATTTCAAGAGACGGGTAATCAGTGTAACCAACTACAGGATCAGTCTTATAGAAAGTGCTCCTATCATGTTTGTTCAACGGTGCATTCGCTTCAAAACGTTTAGGCAAATCAGGATTTGCCAAAAACAAACGTCCAAATGAAACCAAATCAGCATAACTTTCAGTAATTGCTTCATCTCCATCAGTTTTATTGTATCCACCAGAAGCAATAAGTGTCCCTTCAAATGCACACCTTATTGATTTAAGGCAACGAGGTTCGTCCTTTGGCTCAAACACATGTAAATATAAAACTCCAAGCTTAGTGAGTTCACTAGCCAAATAAGTCGATAGAAATTCTGGGTTCGAGTCTTTTTTCCCATACACTTCAGAAAATAGAGAGAGTTTTACACCAACTCTGTCTGCTCCAATTTCTTCCACAACTGCTCCTATAATTTCGAGAGCAAGTCTACAACGGTTCTCAATGCTTCCACCATATTCATCGGTTCTGTCGTTGACTTGATCATTCAAGAACTGATCGATTATGTAGCTGTTTGCAGAGTTGATCTCCACTCCATCAAATCCTTCATTTTGAGGAACAACAACATGTCATCAAGTAAAAGTTGTGCAATGTGGTAAAGTTGTGTTAAATTAATAGATAAGTTATTACCAGCTTCAATGGCATTGCGGGCTGCAATTCTAAAATCGTTGACAATGAGAGGGAGTTCATTAGCTTTTAGTTGCTTTGGTGTTGGTTTGAAGTACTCACCATCGTCAGGTACTACACATCGTAAAGAACAAAATACAAGAGCATGCATTATTGCTATTCCATTAGTAAGATATATCAAAAGAATGGATCATGAACTTAACTCAATCACAAAAATAAGCTCAAGAACTGAAAATGGTTCAACATTAGCTCATTAAGACAGAACCATAAAAGCTAGCTAGCTCGAGAGACAAGGATTGCTTAAGTCCATATAAAGAGACTAGGCCTAATTACCATCAGCGCAAACATGAGAATCTAGCTAGCATTATATTAAATACATTACCTGCTTTCCAAAACATTATGAAATTGTTGAGAGTTGAATTGGATAGTCGCCCTGGATGCCATAGCTGACAAAAAAAGACACCGCCTTTGCCATGAACAGAGTCAACAATGGGCTTCCATGCCTCTGTTTGATCTTTAGTCCAAATTCCAGGCATATTTGGAGACCTTCAAATACAACAATAACTAAAAAAATAAATCTCATATATACTAACAATTATGAATCATCATCAGTACGCAATTCAGGTCGATTAGAAGGTGTAAGACTAGCTACAATTGAATATTGAAAGTATGAAAAAACATATTGTAATGTATTTACCAGAAAATAGATGGTTATTGTAATACCCCAGATATTTTAAGTTCAGAACATGCAAATTTCCAGAAAAATCTGATTTTTACAGACCACATCTACAAGCCATAAAAGGAACCACGGAACATAGATGAGGCATGTAGATCAGGTTCAGAGTTAGTGAAATTCTTCCGACTTTTACTAATGGTGTTTACGGCTCGTGGAATGGACCATGGACCGTAGATAGTGTCCGTAGAATGAGTTCAGAGACAGTTGGCATTCAGCCAGATTTCTACGAGTTCCGTTGACGGGTCGTAGATTGACTCATAGATCAAAGTACTGAGACTTGACTATTAGCCTGATTTACACGGACCATGTCTACAGCCGTCAAATAATAGATATCATATAGTAAAAAAGAGAGAGAGAGAGATATTACCCATTGGAAATGTCAGAGGCACTAGTTGATTCAGAAATGATAAAGCCCCCCTTAGTAGCTCTTTGAGCATAATATTCAATAGCATGTGGCTGTGGAGTATTATTGTATGATCTGTTCCTTGTCATTGGAGGCATCACTACTCTGAAAATAAAATACAATTTCTTAGTCACACAAAAACAAAGCACTTTCTAGTAACACAATTCACAAATTTACATTTACACAGTACCTATGAGAGAGCTCAAAACTTCCCATTTTGTAAGGAGTAAGGAGAGGAACTGGGCTGGACTTTGCTGCCATCTCACTCTCAATGAACTTTTTTTTCTTGTTAGCTTCACTAAAAACCACTAGCAAATATCAAAATTTATACACAAGTTTGGTCAATATTTAAATGTCTACTCTCACTAAAATATTATGCTAACCACTAACAACTTGTATGAAAACTATTCAGAATAGGTGACCTAATTAAGAATATAAAAGTGCTTGATTAATTTTTAAGTGCCTTTTACCATTTCAAGTGGATGGAAAAATCAAGGGCATAACATATAAATATGTTCTTTATTTGGCTTTAGCTGACATCTAAGTCCTCTAATTTTGGGTATGTACAAGTAGACACTTAAAATTGTCTAAATTGAACAAGTAGACGCACTTGTCCAGCGTGGCATATTATATGTAGAATGTCATGCGTAAGACATAAAATTGTCATGTAGGACACCACGTAAGACGAATATGGCTATTTGTTCTATTTTATACAAGTTTGAGTGTCTACTTGTGCACACCCAAACTTGGAAGACATAGATGCAAGTTGAAGCCAAGTTGAAGGGCACATTTATGTTTGACATAATACATAAATGTGCCCTTTAACTTTGCCTCGTTTTACATATATGTCATTTAACTTTGGGTGTGCATAAGTAGACACTTAAATTTGTATAAAGTTGAACAAGTAGACACATGAGTCCTACGTGGCATAGGATGTCACATAGAAATCAAATTGTCATGTAGGATGCCACGTAAGACGTGTCTCATGTCTATTTATTCAACTTTATATAAGTTTAAGTGTCGAGTGCACACCCAAAGTTGGAGAACAAAAATATGAGTTGAGGCAAAGTTAAAGGACATATCTATGTATTATGCCTTTATGTTTTATGCCAAAAATCAAAGCTTAAAAAAGCGAAAGTGCTCTACCTACCTAGGGGTCTGCAAAAATCAAACCGACCAATATACCGGACCAATAAAAATGTTATTAATTGGTTTATTGCTATTGGTTATTGGGTTAACGGATTTTTGATGGTTTTATAAAAAAATGTGTTAATGGATTATCGGTTAGGTTTTGACTTTTTAATATTGGGTTATTGGGTAAATCGATAACTCATTAAGACGGTAGTGATTTGCTACTTTACCCCTACATAAATATTAAAACCAGTACCTTAGTGGTTATTACCTTTGATTTTTAGCCTTCAATTCACATTGTTGGCCTAGTTCTTTTATTTGTGTTAGACATGTATAGTTCTTTTCATGCTAGTTACTACTATTTTTATTTTATGTGCATTATGTGAAGTTACATTACCATCCCATTGCGTTAAATTATTGGAGAAGTTATATATTTGTTTGATGAGCATTTTTTATTGGTTAAACCAAAAACTGAATCATTAAGGATCAAAAATCGATACATCAAAAATTGAAAAAAATATTTTATTGATTTGGTTATTGGTTAGCATATTTAAAAATCGACAACCGATAAAACAAATTGATAATATATAGAACCGACCGATGCACACCACTATACCTACCCTCTCGATGTCTTGGAAGGTATAAAAGGGAACTCAACTTGAACTATGCATTCCAAGAAAAGTTTTTTTCCGACAACTTATATAGGAACTTTCCAACAGATGAGTTGTTGCTTCCACAGGCCACAATTCATCCTTGCAAGCACGAAATCCTTAGTTTTGCTCCGATCACACAGTTCGGTGTATTCTTATGGCTAAACTCGAGAGAGGTTATACCGACTCATTATTTCAGGTCAGAAGGATTAAGAAATAGCAATGTATGAGCTGAGCTCAATTCTTTATAATAATAAAAAGACTTACAATTAAAAATATTGGCTGTCCAACAAAGCATGTGTCCAAAGTCCAAGCTAGTTATCTTGCAGATGAAATATATAATGCAAGTTGAAACTTTAATAAGATAATTGGTCTTTGCCCACGCAATTTAACATGCATGAGGGGCGGCTGATTATATAAATTTAAGAAAGAAATTAAGATATTTAATCAATAAAGCTATTCCATGAAACCACATTCATTGAAAAACATAGATGTTGGCTGGTCAAATAAGATGGGTGGGCTGATTGACATTTTCAATTCAAATTTTGAAAAATATTTGCTCATGTTCTCAAATATTTAAATTAATCATATGATATATATCATGTAATTATACAGATCAGCTTAAATTTGAACAAATCTGAAGTTTTACAATTTATTGAGGCTAATGTGTAGAAGAGTTGATTCTATAGTTATACGGTGGGATGGACTAGAGGTCTCGGATTTGAGTTTTTGGTATGTGAATAATCTTGTAAGGGAGTAATCTCCCGATAATGAGCCTAATGCATCTCCAGATTAGTTGAAGCCCTAATTAGTGTTATCAAAAGCACGTTTTAAGCACGCTTAAGCCCTGAAGCGAGGCTAGCGCTTCACCTCGCTTAATGTGCGCTTCAATGTCATCATCAAGGTTATAAGACATACTTTTCCTTGCCGACGAACTTCTTAGGTAGAGATGACACTAAGTAATTTATATTTTCACTTTATCGTGATTATTTTTTTATTTTTTTTCATTTATTTGTCATTCATGCTTATAAATTAGTGTTGGGTGAAACATATATATTTGTATTTTGTCAGCCTTTATACTTTTTTCTTCATTAAAGCTCACACTTTATTTGCACTTTGGGCTTAAAGCCTCAACGAACCTTAGAGTTTCTTTGGGCTTTTTGCTTCTGATAACATTGGCTCCAATATGGATACCAAACACCGCATGAGAAATCGAAAAAATACATGACAATGGTCTAGAATATTAAGGGATGGCAATGGGCGGGGCGGGTTGAGCTTAACCTGCAAAATTTTTAACCCACCCCGCATAACTACCTTTTTCATTTTCAACTCACCTCACTCCGCCCCACATAGACCCCCCTCCCCCCCCCCCCCCGCATAATTTTTTTAATATTTTCTTTTCCTAGTTGACTTTGATACTAAAAATAAAAATTCATAAAAATAAATTATTTTTCATTAAGTTATATTAATTTAATAGATAATAACTTTAAACTGTTATAAATCCATTGAACTAATTAAGTGGATTGTCCATTGAGTTTATCCATAAACTTATACTTATCATCTATGTGTATTCCCTAGGTTCTATGAACCTTTTTGGATAAGAATGTATCTATTTATTACGACACTTAATATGGTGACTTTTGGAGTGATTTCTCAAGCTATAAATAAGGTTCATTTGAATAAGATGACCTCTACATTCTACTCCCCATATATATATATATATATATATATATATATATATATATCTTTTGTCTATATTGTTATTTGTAGTATACTACTTATATTTTACAACACGTTATCAGCACGAGACTCTAGTCAATTGAGATTGAGTTTTAGTTTTTCTTTAGCTCATGTTTTGGTTGATCTCGTTATCAGAATCAAGAAGGAAAAATGATAACTACTGGAATCAAGGTATAATATGCATAAAATCAGGTATGTATTTTCTAGAATCTTTTTATGATTTAGAATATAATAGTGTTCGGTCACTAACATTTACCAGGAACCAAAGGCATATACTACTACTAGTTGAATATGACATGCTCCACAAAATTCCTTAAATAGAAGAAGGTAAAAAGTTTTAGTAGCATGAGTTTGCATATTATTTTGATTATTTTGAAATACTCAAAGGGTGAGTCATATTGTACCTTGGTCTATTATACGGTTGATTAAGGGTAAGACGGTGGATTCAAGTCCCATCACACCAAAAGGGCAAAACACCATGTTAAAGTCTAGATGCACCATAATGAAAAATGTTTGAGGGTAAGTGATGAGTCCACAAATTGGACTCATTTAGGGATTTATTTTAATAGAAACAGTGTCCTCAAATGCTTATTTATTCTAAATATCTGATGAAAACACTTAAGTTTCATGTATTTGAAGTTTTAGTGGAAGCATGGACACTTAGGCGCAACAAGTAACAAAAAGGCTGAAAAGAACAAAGAAGCTGAATCTTGAGCATCACCAAGCACGCTTGGCGATTCGCCGAAGGGACGCACTCCGCCCTTTGTTCCAGTTAAGGTTGGGCACCGGACCGGAATGGGACCACCGGACCGGAACGAACCGGTACCGGACCGGAACGGGACGGTTTGACCGGGTTGTTGACCGGTACCGGGATGA